GCGGATCTCTGTGAGTTCGAGGCCAGCCTGGTCTACAAAGCAAGTTCCAGGACAGCCTCCAAAACAATACAGAGAAACTCTGTCTCGAAAAATCCAAAAAAAAAAAAAAACCAAAAAAAAAAAAGAATCTCATTTATTTTATGTATGAGTGTCTACATGTGTGTCTGTGCACTATGTGCATTCCTAGTGCCTGCAGAGATGAAATGGCATTGGATCCCCTGGAACAGAAGTCAGAGATGGTTGTGAGCTGCTGTGAGTGCTGGGAATTAAACTTGGATCCTCTGGGAGAACAATCAGGGCTCTTAAATGCCTCTCAGGTCCACTGTTGTGACTTTTTTTTTTTTTTTTTTTCGAGACAGGGTTTCTCTGTGGCTTTGGAGGCTGTCCTGGAACTAGCTCTTGTATACCAGGCTGGCTTCGAACTCAAAGATCCGCCTGCCTCTGCCTCCCAAATGTTGGGATTAAAGGCGTGTGCCACCAACGCCTGGCTTGCGCCACCAACGCCCGGCTGTGACTTTAAAATTTTTATTTATTATTAAGTATACAGTGTTCTGCCTGCACGCCAGAAGAGGGCACCAGATCTCATTACAGATGGTTGTGAGTCACCGTGTGGTTGCTGGGAACTGAACTCAGGACCCCTGGAAGAGCGGCCAGTGCTCTTACCCTCTGAGCCGTCTCTCCAGGCCCGCTGTTGTGTTACATATGCTTTGAAAAATTGCTGCGTTTGCTGGGTGGCTGTGTGCACACCTTTCATCGCAGTATTTACGAGGCAGAGGCGAGCAGGGCTCTTTCTTAAGTCTGACGTCAGCCAGGGCCAGTGTACCCAGCCTTGAAAAGCCAAAAACAATGCTGCATTTATTTACTTGTGTGTGTGGAAGTTAGAGGTCAACTTACTGGAGTCACTTTTCTCCATTATACGGTCCTGGGGACACAACTTGGTCAGGCTTGGTGACAAGTGCCTATACTAGCTGAACCAACAACCTGCTGGCCCCAGATTTTTATGTATATTTGCTTATTTATATCTTGAACTTCCTGAGCACTGGGATTACAGGCCTCTGGGACCACATTCCATGCTATGCAGAACTGGACTGGGGACTGAACCTAGGGCCTTTCCAATGAATACTGAGTAAGTCATCTATTCTCTTTACATCTCCCTTAACTCCAGTATTTTCATGTACACTAGCTACATTTATTTTTCTTGTGCTGACTGGGGATTGAACCGACGCCTTGAGCATGCTAGGCAAGTGCCTAACTAAACTGTATGTCAATGGCTTTTTCCCCCCTTGATACAGTGTCACCATGTATGTAACCCGGGATTCAGGTTGGGATTTAAAGTGTATGTCACTATGTCTGGCTGTTTTCCTTGGTTTTATGTTTTTGTTTGTTTGTTGAGACACGGTTTCTCTGTGTAACAGCCTTGGCAGTCCTGGAACTCTATCCGTAGACCTCCAATACATTGAGATCGTCTGCCTCTGCCTCCTCTGAGTGCTGGGATAAAGGAGTGCGCCACCATTACCCGACTTGGTTTTGTTTGGTTTTGGTTTTTCAAGACAGGGTTTCTCTGTGGCTTTGGAGGCTGTCCTGGTAAACTAGCTCTTGTAAACCAGGCTGGTCTGGAACTCATAGAGATTCAGCCTGCCTCTGCTTGCCTAGTGCTGGGATTAATGGCATTTGCCACTACTGTTAGGCACTGCATTTCCTTTTTGAGACATGCTTTTGCTAGATTGCCCAGGATGTTTCTGAACTTGCTCTGTAGGCCAGAATAGCCTTGAACTTGAGCATCTTCCTGTCCTAGCCTCTAGAGTAGCTGGGATCACAAGCCAGGTCCACCAGGCCCAGCCTTCTGTCTGTTTATTTTTTGAGACAAGGTTTCTTTATGTAGCTCTTGATGTCTTTGACCTTAATGTATACCCAAGGCTGGCCTTGGATTAACAGAGATCCTCTTGTTTCTGCTTCCTGAGTGCTGAGATTAAAGGTTGAGTCTTGTTTTGTTTTTTTGGTTTTACGAGACAGGGTTTCTCTGTATTGTTTTGGAGGCTTGTCGGTCCAGCCCGGCCTCGAACTCACAGAGATCCGCCTGCCTCTGCCTCCCGAGTACTGGGATTAAAGGCGTTTGCCACCACCACCCGGCTTGTTTTGGTTTTTTAGACAGGTTTTCTCTACTGTATATAGCCCTAGCTGGCCTGGAACTTGATCTGTAGGCAATGCTGGCTTTGAACTCAGATCTGCCTGCCTCTCTCTCCCACATGCTGGGAGTCACCACTACCACCCAGCAAACGTTTACTTTTTTAAAAGTATTGTATGTGCGTAGAATCTGTTACTCCAGTTCTAGGGGATCTGATAGCTTCATTTGACCTCTTTAGACATGATGAATGCATCTGTTGTACAAAAATGCAGGCACAGCCGGGCGGTGGTGGCACACGCCTTTAATCCCAGTACTCGGGAGGCAGAGGCAGGAGGATCTCTGTGAGTTCGAGGCTGGGCTAGACTGACAGCCTCCAAAACAATACAGAGAAACCCTGTCTCAAAAAAACAACAACAAAAACAAATGCAGGCACAACATTTACATACATAAAATAAAGATGGGGCTTGAGAAACACCTCTGTGCTCTTCTAGAGGAGCTGGAGTAAACTTGAGCATGGGATGACAGCTCACTAATGTTCACTCCAGTCCCAAGGGACCCAACACCCTGCCCTGGAATCTTCTGGCAGCAGACACACCCAACACCCGTAGAAATAAAATCTAAAAAAAGTTTTAAAAAAGTACGATCAATACTAAATCGATTATTTTTCTGTAAGGCTGTTGGCCATGTGGCTGAAGGAGCTTGGAGGCCTCTCCAGGGAACAGCGGTTAGGTAAGCACGCTACACTGTGCTACACCATATAATTTTTCATTACCTGTGGCCTCACACCTACTGTACCGATCGCCCCTTTACCTAATACCCAACTCTCTGATTTTCCCTATCAGTTGGTCTTATAACTCAATTCTAATACTACCCAGAGCTAGCACAGGCCTCTGGTTAAGAGCTGAATTCCACAGGGCCATCTGACTTCAGAGAACAGTCATCAGTGACTTGTCCCAGCTCACAGAACTAGTAGAACACACTGGCTGGGAAAAGGCAAGTGGATCTCTGAATTTGAGGCCATCTTGGTCTACATAGCAAGTTCCAGGTCAGCCAGGATTACACCGTGAGACCTTGTCTCAAAAACAAAAACAAACAAACAAAAAAAACCCCAACAAAAAACCAATTGCCCAAAAAACCCACCTAGAACTAGCAGGGCATATGACACGTGCATATAAATCCCAATAGCTATGCACTTCAAGACAGGAAACTTACCAAGTTGGATGCCAGCCTAGGCCACAGCGTGCTATCCTGTATAAAGACCTATACTCTCAAAAAGGATGCTTGAAATCCCAGTGGATTTGGGAAGAGATATTTTTATCCATCACAGCAACAGTTTTTTTCATCAGATTGGATGTTTTCTTTCAGAAGACCTGTTTCTCTTATGTAGATGCTTTACACTAAATATGGGTTGAGATTTCTTGGGTCAGTTGTATTTATTCAGTCTCTTCACACAGCCTGTCGATTTGCTCAGATTGCTACTCATGTCCCTGCACCTCGGTAGGTGAGAGGGTGCAGACTTAGTTCCCGTGGCCCTCTCCCCAATCTCAGTAGGAATCTTTGGTTCCTTTCCCAGGTTGAAGTTCTTGTTTTCACTGTTTCCTTTACATACAATGCAGACAAGACCTCAGACAGTAACACTAGAACATGTTTACCACTTAAACATGGGTCAGATTTTCCACTCTCTTGGAGACAGGGCCCTACTATGGAAACCAGACTGGCCTTGCATTGTCCTGCCTCGTCCTCCTGAGTTGGGAATACACGCTTGGACAACCAAGCCCAGCACTTTTTTCTTTTGGTTTTCCGAGACAGGGTTTCTCTGTATTGCTTTGGAGGCTGTCGGTCCAGCCTGGCCTCGAACTCCCAGAGATCCTCCCGTCTCTGCCTTTTGTGCTGGGATTAAAGGCGTGCGCCACCAACACCTGGCTCCAGCACTTAGTTTTGACCTGAGTATCTAGTATTCTTTCCACAACTTAATATATCCCTTTCCTTAAAGCAATTTAAAGTATCATACACTATGGCATGCTTGTGGTTGGAGCACAACCTGTGAACGATGCTATCTCCTTCTGGGTTCAGTCAACTCTTCATGTTTCACAGCCTTTATCCATGATCCATCTCACCATCCCCCCTCCCTCTTTTTATTAAAGATTTACTAAAGAATTTGAGTGCTTTATCTGCATGTACAACTGTACACCACAGGAGGACCTTAGATTCCAGTAGAGATGGTTGTGAGTCACAATGTGGTTGCTGGGAATTGAACTCGGGACCCATGGAAGAGCAGTCAGTCAGTGCTGTTAACCTCTGAGCCATCTCTCCAGCGCCCTAGAGCAGTGGTTCTTAACTCACCGTTATCTTCAACAATATTTACATTGATAAGTTAAAAAATTAGTTATGAAGCAGCAACAAAAATAACTTAATAGTTGGGCAATGGAAGCAGCATTAGAAGTTTGATAATAAAACTTCTCAGGGCCGGGCGTTGGTGGCGCACGCCTTTGATTGATCCCAGCACTCGGGAGGCAGAGGCAGGCGAATCTCTGTGAGTTCGAGGCCAGCCTGGTCTACAAAGTGAGTTCCAGGACAGCCTCCAAAGCTACAGAGAAACCCTGACTCGAAAAATCAAAAAAAAAATAAAATAAAAAAACTACTCAGGACAGTCACCCTACCTTAGGGGCACTGCTATACAAAAACCCAACAGGACTATTCAACTCAGGTTCCTGCTCCAGTTTATATTCTAAACCCCAGTCCACAGAATAAAGCGACTCCAACTCTAATTCAGGGCCATAGCTTTGGTGGCTTTGTAAGGATTGGGGCACAACAATGCCAGCTGCTCTAAGCCACACTACGGGAAGAGGTTATAGACACCTTCAGGCACAGAAACTGCTTTTCCAACTTATATTTAGAAAACCAAATCCAGGTTCTGGTGCCCCCATCCCCTCCCCCACCCCAGCCATAATTTAAATAACTTAGAGACAGAGTGGGCGGGAACAGGACCTAAGGAAGGAGAAGAGCCCACTACAGTCGCCTCAGCGCCCGCTTCTTGTCCAGTTTCTTCTTGGCTGCCAGCTTCTTATCTCGCTCGCCTGCATGCTTCTTGGCCATGGGACCCTCGGCTCCTGGAGTCATGGGGTCAGCAGAGGATGCTGCAGCCCCGCCTGCCAGGTCCCGGGTAGCCTCAGCCCTCCCGCTGCCGACGCCTGCACCCCCATGGATCTCCGTGAGCAGCCGGGCGCGGGCAGCATACTCTTCGTAGTTCTCCAGAAGCAGGCGGCCTGCTTCCTCATTGAGTGCAGACTCCGGGTTGGGGTGGATCAGCAGGCACTTGATGGTCTGTGGGGACAGCACCTAGTGTCAGGGGTGTCGTCACGCTTGTGGCCTCCATACCAGCTCTTCCTTCAATCCCAAGTCATTTCTCTCAAGACCAGACAGCCTATTAGCAACCCCCCCCCCACCCTTTGGTTTCTCAGCGGCTTTGGAGGTTGATCTGGAACTGGCTCTGTAGACCAGACTGGCTTTGAACTTAGAGACCCGCCTGCCTCTGCCTCCCGAGTGCTGGGATTAAAGGCGTGCGCCACCAATGCCCAGCTGCCTATTAGCATTCTTATTCATGGCACCACCAAACATTATTACAAACATTTCAGCCAGGCGTTGGTGGCACACGCCTTTAATCCCAGCACTCGGGAGGCAGAGGCAGGTGGATCTCTGTGAGTTCAAGACCAGTCTGGTCTACAAGAGCTAGTTCCAGGACAGCCTCCAAAACCACAGAGAAACCCTGTCTCGGAAAAAAAAAAAAAAAAAAACAAAAAAAACCATTTCAAGAAACCACTGCCTTGGCAGATATAGTCTGATATTGGCAGAGGCCCTTCCCTCAGGAAGCCCATCCATCAGCCCCATTTTTTGTAGCTAATGTAGCTCTGCAGGTGAGCATGAGTTCAGAGGTAGTAATTGTACTAAGGGCATTTAGAATCGTGAAATTCACATTTGGTTTCCCTATGTCTTCCATACTTTGTAGGGTGCAGAAACCTAAAGTGGTCATTGGCTTTACCAGGAAGGCCAAGTTGCCAAGTTCAGAGCCATAGGAGATTATACCCAAGAGGGAAAAACAATAGCCTGACCATAGGTCTTAAGAATTTTGTATCAATTTAATGCATTCACTCTAAATTTTAAGTTAGAAAGCTCCATAAATAAAAGTCAGTCCTGCGTTACAGGTGCTTTGAAGAGCTTCTGCGACACACCCCAAGTTAGTACATGTTACTGATGTTGAAAAGGGATGCAGGATCTCCCCCAGATTTTACCACTACACCTCCAAACTGGAGGCCTGGCCATCCTTGATACAACTTCCTCTAACAGGCTTAAATGCAGACCCTATAGCCAGCTAACAGTTCTAGACCAAGCTCAACGGACACTCAGAGAGGAAGGCAAAACAGGAAAGGTTTTGGGGTTGTTTACCTGGAAACTTAATCCTTTGCAGGTGCCCTAAAGGAAGCCAATTCTCTATCTTCCCTACCACCAGCCCTAGAGACTCATTAGGACGGGAGGGCAAAGGAGGCACCAGGTGACCGAACTACGCTAAGTGGCCTTTAGAGACCGTGGAGCTTTGTCTAGACCAGGTATCCATCTCCACCGAGAACTGTGGTACAGTCCTATACATAGCAGATGTTTAATTAGTGTCCCCTGCCTCCACCCACAGCATGCCAGCAGCAGTACTGACATCAAGCTATCTCCTCACATTACAATATGACCCAGGCAGTGCCACCAACCCCAGCTAAAGAACACCACTGCAGGAAAAACAACTCTGAATTAGATAGACAGTGGTGATGGTTGCACTGGCACTGTTTAAAACAAAGAAACAAACACCACCAAAAACCCCACCAAAGACCCTGGAACACCCATCTCCCAAACACCACACCACAACAAAACCCGTTCTTCTTAGTTGAATAGTCCAACTTCTGGGGGGAGTTTCTAGTTTACCCACACGCTTGGGTCCAAATATGTAATAACCATGGCTGAGGATCACGGGTCCAAGGGTAGTTTGGGCTGCTGGTGAAATGTAGGATGCATACATTTAAAAAGCCTCTAAGCCACACTACCATCTACCTTCTGTGAAGCCACCCTACCAAACAAACCCAGTTGCTGAACGGGGTGTAGTGCCTACCCCACACTGCCTAAGAGCACGTGGTGCCTGCCACAGGGCAACCCTTCCACTCATTTTCAGAAAGGCTGGAAACTTGGTTTTATGTGACTCTGTCCCCTTCTACTCCAGTTGAGTGTTAAAAACTCACCAGCAGCACATGTCGGATGCCCAACTCAGCCGTCCAGTCCCTTTTGAGCACGTTGACACAGATCTCGCCATTGGCACCCACATTTGGGTGGAAGATCTTAGTCAGGAAGTAGCCCTTGGGTGGGGAGGCAGGGAAGTCCTTGCCCAGGAGCAGCTTCATCCGGAACAGACCTCCAGCATAAGGGGTGCCCTCTGGAACCGGAAGAGGGTACTAGGTTAGGATGCCCTAGCATCCTTCAACATCTCAACTCCCATCTGACCGAGCAAATTCAGGGCAACAAAGAACAGTCCCCCGGATACTACAGACTGCATCTCCTTATACCTTGACTATATTACACAGCCCATACCCCTGCATTCCTGGATTCCATTTTCTTTTCCAAGTGACTGTCTCAGGCACATGCCACTCTCCAGACAAAAGGACCCAACCCACCAACTGTTCTTGCAAACCATTTCCCAGGCCTTTCCAGATCCTCATGAGACATGTTGCATTTACTTACTTGCTAGGGTGGAAATGGTAATCACAGATGGTCTGCCCACTTACTAAACAGTAGCTCAGGCGATGCCTTCCACACCCCACTATAGACCACACACCTGAAGCACAATTACCCGGTGCACTTTTTTTTTTTTTTTTGGTTTTTCGAGACAGGGTTTCTCTATGGCTTTTGGAGGCTGTCCTGGAACTCGATTGGTAGTCCAGGCTGGTCTCGAACTCACAGAGATCCTCCTGCCTCTGCCTCCTGAGTCCTGGGATTAAAGGCGTGCGCCACCAACGCCCGGCCACCCGGTGCACTTTCTATCTCTAACTTCTATGCATCCTCGGGACCCTGTTAAGTCAAACTTGACAGCCTTGGCCAAGTCTACGCAAAATACTCAGCGACCAGGAACTTCTCATGTATTTACTGCTATCTGTGGTGTCCCAGATACTCTCGGGCCCAACGATGCCGTGCCTGACCTACCCACACTGTCACCAGCACCCGAGATTGCCTTGAATCCTGTTTGTTCCAGTCACACGACAGAAAAAAAAGGGGCCACTCCCTTTCGTGCTCATGCCCACACCCACCTGGGCCCTCGATGGTGACCTGGAGGTCCGTGAGATCCTCCTCATTGGGGAAGACTTTGATGCCATCAGGTGGGTCCGCCGTCAGTGTTGTCACCTCCTTGTACACTAGGCGGATGATGTGCGGAGGCAGATTCTCCACGTTGGAGTTCTGGGCGAGGATGAAAGAGGAGAATGAGCAGCCCGAAATATCTGGGATGAAACAAATCCGGTGGACACCAGAATCGTAACCTTGCTGCTGGCCCCCCGGGCTGTCAATCATCGCGGGGCCAACCAGACAGACCCTCACCCGGGATGCTTCTGTCTCGGCTTGACGTACTCAGAAAAAACCCCCAAACCCTCCCAGAGACCGTTCGTTAGCACGCGCGCGGGCCCGTTAGTGGTTCCAGGTGGGCCTGAGGCCTAGCCTTGTGCCCTTTCCCGACTTGGCGTGGAAGCACCACCCTCCCCCGCCAAAATGGGGGAAAAAAAAAAAGCAAAAAAGCGCTGGACGAAATGGCGGCGGGATGTCTCGCTCCCGACAACATCCAGGGGCGGGCCCGCAGGGGGCCCCGATCACTCCCCAAGGCTCCGGGGCCCGCCCGCCCGCATTCCTGCAGCGCCCGGAGGAGGAGGAGGAGGAAGAAAGGCCTCGGGCCGACCCCTGGCTCCGCGCCTCCAGCCCTGCCACCAGAGCACTCGGGACGCAGCCCCGGCCCGCGGGCCTCCCGCGTCGCTCACCATGACTCCGGCCGACCGGGGGCGGGTCCCGCGCTCCCCCTTCCTGCGCTCCTGGAACCGCCGGCCGGGGCGGGGACGGGGAGGGGGGGCCCAACTGCCGGCCGCTGTGGCCCTAGCGAGGCCCCCCGAGGTCCGGCTCCGCCGCTCCGCTTCCGCTCCCGACGAACTCCCGACCCCCGATACGGAGAGAAAAAAAAAAATAAACCGCTCGCAACGTTACGACTGCCCCGGCCGCAATGAGCCGGCCGCGCGCCCAGCACGACGCTTTTATAGCCACTCGCAGGCCCCGCCCCTTTCCGGCCCCGCCCCCTCCACCCCCGCGGCGCGCTCCGGCCGCCTACGTCAACGCGCACGTTGATGGGGGGGATGCGCTCTGCTGCCCCCCTAATTCTCAGAATGGGGGAGCGGAAGTTCCAGCCGAGCTTGGGGGGGCAGTGTGTCCAATGAGGGCTCCCGCCGGCTGAGGAGGAGATGTGGGAGAACCAAGAGGCTGAAAACCCAGTCGAGGGGGGGCGTCCCCTCCCCCGCCCAGGCGACGAGGCCGCTGATTGGACCGTTTGAATGAGACGCCGCTCCGGCGTGCGCGCGCCCGCGCCCAGGCCCGACCTGGAGGAAGTCGCGCCCGCGACTAACGGTCGACCCGGTGGGGCGGGGCGGGGCGAGGGAAGGCGGGACTTGGGGGGGTTTCAAACGAGTGACGGAAAGGGCACTGACCAATAGAGAGCGCCGGCCGCGATGGGCGGGTTCCGAATGGAAAGCTTACGAATGGAAGGAGAGCTCAGCCTGATGGACGTCGCCCGCGGCCAATGAGATCCCTCAGTGGCTTTTCGGAATGCAGATGAGTGCGGGCGTCGGCTGGCATCCTCGCCTCGAGGCCGCAGAGACCAGGCGGGTGCCGGAAGTGGGCTCGTGGTTGTCTCTGAGGCGCCATTTTGCGCTGCGTGTGTTTAGAGTACCAAGCAGTTCAAACAATATTTCAGAAAATAAAAAAGGGGGGCTGGAGAGATGGCTCAGAGGTTAAGAGCACTGACTGCTCTTCCAGGGGTCCTGAGTTCAATTCCCAGCAACCACATGGTGGCTCACAACCATCTACAATTCAATCTGGTGCCCTCTTCTGGCATGTAGGCAGAACACTGTGTATGTAATAAATAAATCTTTGAAAAGAAATAAAAAAAGGGGGAGATGCTGGGGCCTAGCCCCCACAGGGTCTCTGAGTTGCTTGTCAGCTGATAGCCACAGGAGCATCGTGTTTTCTAGTCCTGGCTTGCTGTCCCCGCATTGCCCCACAGACATCACCATCCCGCAGGAGGAAAACACGCTCTCTTCCACCTGGGGTTTTTCCACTGTGCTGTAAGACTATCTATGAGACTGCTCCCTCCTACAAGAGAGAGACCGCTTAGCACTTGCAAAATAAAGACACTTCTTAGTACAAACAGCTGAACATCTGGTCTGTCTTTTCCCGACACCTGGGAGTTGCCTCAGGGGAGAGAAAAGGGAGAGGGGAAGGGGTGTTTGTCCTGGAGGGGGCGACACAGGACTGCCCCTGGATAGAAGACAGAGGTGGCCCACGGGCAGACAGCAGTTTATAAAGGCTAAGGGGGACACCCCGAGTTAGGATGAGGTGTTTGACTTTAACTGGGCGTGTTAACTAGGTGAGCCAAAGGGGGCTTCTGACTGCTGGACTTCAACACTTCCATTGCTGGGCCTTGGTAGCCAGCCTGGGGAGGAGGGAGTGGCCAAATGAGGCACTAGACTTTGGGTGGATAGCGTCAGGGGTGTAGTGATGGTTTTCAGCAAGGCAGAGGGAACACGAGAGAGGGGCGAGGCTGTCAGCCATGTTTGCCGTGCTCAGGCTGGCTAGAGTCCTTTTAGAAGGGGCGAGTGTCAATACCCTGGCTTCTCCCTCTCCGGGGTCCTGGGCAACCTGGCCCTGTTCCCGCGCCCAACTTCTCTCCTCCCTCAGCTGTCACTCCGCGCCAGCCCTCTCCTGGGCCGGGGCCTTCTCCTTAGGGAGCCTTCCCTGGTCGCTGGGGTCTCTAATCCTCGGCTCTCTCCCCGCCCCGGGATCGATCTTATCCTGGCTACCTTCCCCCGCCCCGGGGATCCATCTTTGACGGGTGATTGCTCCTCACTGATGGCTGTCAAAGGTTGCATGGCTGCGTCGTGGGTGTCTTAGGTGGCTGTATAAGGGCTCTGCATGCAGAAATCACGTGGTACTGGGGCCTTGAGGAGCTGTGCCAGCGGCAGCTCCATGACTCCAGCAGTTTTAATGGGCCCAACTGCTGAGACTCGTTCTAAACTGTCCCGTTCCCTATATAAGCAAGCTCCTCTTCCTCTTCCTTCTCCTCTTCCTCCTCCTCCTCTTCCTCCTCCTCCTCTTCCTTCTCCTCCTCCTCCTCTTCCTCCTCCTCCTCTTCTTCCTCCTCCTCCTCCTCCTCTCTCCTCCTCCTCCTCCTCTTCCCATTTCTGCTCCCCTCCCTTTGCCCCCTTCCTCAGTAAGCTCCACGTGGGTCTATTGAGTTTGGTGGATGTGTTTCATCGCCCGAAGCTGCAGCAAAGACCAAGAGAGGAGCTGTGTTATCAGGAGGGTGTGTGCACCAGGAACCAAGCCAAAAGGTCAGGGAGCAAAGATGCTAAGTTACATAAGGGTTTAGAAGCTCAGGGAAGGACAGCACAACCCGGCCCTTGATTGGAGACTTTAGGGTAAGGGGTGGGGTGAAGAGCACAGTGGGGAGCTCAGGCTCCTCCCGGGCCTTCTTGAGACCTAGCACGCAGCAGTTTACCGTCCCGTCAGATTGGGATGCCAGGCAGAAGAACCTAGGGGTGACCCACAGCACTTAGCATCGCAAAGGAAGGACAGAGATCACAGTGTGTGGACTTGGAAAACAGCAGCCCCGCCTCCCAAACACACACCAGAAAAAAAAAAGGAGGGAAAAGGGTAAAAAGAAGTTTTTACAGGGCTGGAGATGTATTGTGCTTGCAGAGCATGTGGTGTGCGAAGCCCCGAGTCCAGCCCCAGCAATACATCCAGACGCTTTGTGGTGGTACATGTTTGTAATCCCAGCCTTTGGGGAGGTGGAGGCAGGAGGATCAGAAATTCAGAGTCATCCTCAGCTGCATAGCGAAGCGGAAACTAGCTCGGACTGTGTGAAAGTATCTAGAAATAACAATAGGAAAAGAAGACCCCGAGGAGGAGAAGAAAAGAGCAATAAGAGAAGGATAATCAGAGAGACTGGCTGTCATAACAGTATCGCTTTTCCCGGGGTGCCATTTTGGAACACATAACTTGTGTCTGTCTGTGTATACTGGGCTGGCTCAACAGAAGCAATTCTTGCTATAGACTGCAGCCAGAAGCATTTACCAATGGGAGACGGGGAGATGAGCAAACAGCAGATATACAAAATGTGAAAATAAGGTGAAATCTTGTACACTGAAAAATAAACTTTAAAAAATGCTGTTTTTCTCATAGCATACATAAAAATTGAAATTAATCAAAGACCTGACTGAGAACAAAAATTATAAAACTCATGGGAAAAATGAAACAAAACATGGGGGACTGGAATTAATTATGGTATAGTGGTAGTGTGCTTGCCTATTATGTTAAACTAAAAAAAAAAAACCAAATATTTGAGAAAAAATAGACAGTGGTGGTGCACCACTTTTAACCCCAGCACTCGGGAGGTAGAGGCGGGTGGATCTCTGAGTCCAAGGCCAGCCTGGTCTACTGAGTGAGTTTCAGGACAGCCAGGGTTCCTATATATAGAAACTGTGTCTCAAAAATAAAACCAAAAAACAAAGAAAACAGATTTGAGCTCACTAGCCTATTCCCACTCTTTGAGTAAGTGTGTGAGCATTTATTGTAGCCCACAGTTTCCGAGGTTTCAGTCCATCGTGGTGAGGGTGTGGAGTGAAGACACCCAGGAAGCACTCTCCACACTTCTGTCAAGGTTTACAATAGAGGGTTTCACTCTGTAGCCATGACTGGCCTTAGACTCACAGAGATCACTGTTGTAATCCAGGCAAACCTGGCCCTGCCCGCTGGGAACCTGGCGCAGCCTGACACCCCTCTGTGCATAGCAGGGTACCCTGGCCCTTTAACAGCAAAGCTGCCCCTCTCTCTTTTTTCTCTTTGCTCTGAGAAGGCAGCTCTGTCTCCATCTCTCTCCTTCTTCCCTAACCTCCCATCAATAAACTCTCCCTTTAAGTCACATTTGCAGGTCTCTGTCTGTATGCCACCTGGCATCTGTGTCTGTCCCTCACATGTCTGGGGATCACTGAGGTTCCCCGCCCTCCGTGTGCGTGCGTCTCAGGCCGTGTTCCTAACAGTCCCCCACCTGTGCTTCCTGAGTGCTGAGACTGCCCATTCTCTTTCCTTTCATCCATCCTCCAGCCTGTGGGATAGTACTGCCCACATGAGGCCGTGTCTTCTCCCTTCACCCTTGGTTGTGGCCAAGTTGCAAAGTCCCCAGAGACCACCAGCAAGACGGACCCACCAAACTGCAAAAGCAAGGTTTTAATTGTTCATCCACCCATGACAGGGACCCCGTCTGGCTAGCTGACACAGCAGCCTCCAGAGGGAGTGAAGTTCCCTGTCTACTGCTAGGTTTTATAGACAAAAGTTACAGGATGACATCAGTAGGTACGGGTTGGTTTTCTGATTGGCTGACGTTTGGGTACAATTAGGAGCATTTCTCAAAGTCGTATTTTGGCATGAAATACCTGTGTACCAATTATTTTCATTGGTCAGTGCTGAGAGGGAACATTCTGTGGTTTCTATGGCATTGTCTTGTTACTTGCAGGTGGCCTGTTGTATGCAGATACCAATAGTTTTCAGAACTATATCCTGGAGACTACAGAGGAGGTTTTGGTCTCCCCTAGGGTTTCTTTTGTGGCCAAACAGTTCCCAGGAACCAAGCAACTAGGAGGCTGTGTGTGTGTGGGGTCTGGAATGTCTTTGTGTTCAGTTTTGGCCCTAGGCTCTGGGAGGCCAGAGGATCTGGAGTTTCTTGTGTCAGAGGCCTATGTGTCTTTTCTGTAGCCTGTCATGGCTGCTACAGCAGGGGGCTGAGTGAGGGTCTGGTCCCTTTATTTCTAAATTATTAGAAGTGAAGCTCTTGAGTTTAGTTTAACCCTTACACCTTAATTAACCCAGAGGTGGCTCTTACTAATTTCCTGTTACCTTTCCAGGCTCAGACCTAGAGAGAATGAAACCAGCTCCAGGAACCCCATGCTGGGTGAGGAAAGTTGAGC